TACAATACTATATATGTGGCCTTTGGCCCCCATCATAAACTATTCGATTATTACAATACTATATAGCTGGCCTTAGGCCCCGCCATACAAATACTATATATGTGGCCTTTGGCCCCCATCATAAACTATTCGATTATTACAATACTATATAGCTGGCCTTAGGCCCCGCCATACAAATACTATATATGTGGCCTTTGGCCCCCATCATAAACTATTCGATTATTACAATACTATATAGCTGGCCTTAGGCCCCGCCATACAAATACTATATATGTTGCCTTGGGCCCCCATCATACACTATTCTATTATTACAATACTATATATGTGGCCTTTGGCCCCCATCATAAACTATTCGATTATTACAATACTATATAGCTGGCCTTAGGCCCCGCCATACAAATACTTTATATGTTGCCTTGGGCCCCCATCATACACTATTCTATTATTACAATACTATATATGTGGCCTTTGGCCCCCATCATAAACTATTCGATTATTACAATACTATATAGGTGGCCTTAGGCCCCTCCATACAAATACTATATATGTGGCCTTGGGCCCCCATCATACACTATTCTATTATTACAATTCTATATAGGTGGCCTTAATTAGGCCCCCGTCATACAAATACTATATATGTGGCCTTTGGCCCCCATCATACACTATTATTACAATTCCATATAGGTGGCCTTAGACCCCCGTCATACAAATACTATATATGTGGTCTTTGGCCCCCATCATGCACTATTCTATTATTACAATTCTATATAGGTGGCCTTAGGCCCCGTCATACAAATATAACGCCGGCAACACTATAACGTGCTACTAATAACTTACTGAGTGCTGCACTGGTGCTTGTCTTGTTTTTTCCTATTTAATGCTATATCTATGCCTATGGGTAATACAATTGGCATATACCATGGTAACGTGTTTTAGCATTACTAAAATACGTAAAAAAACAAACTATTTTAGGTCACGGAAGGGGGAGGAGGTGGTCTAAAGCCACACGTGGATGTGAATATCTGTCGCCTGCCATTGTATCGTCTGCTTTAGAGACGCTGGCTCCATCTGTCTGGCGTCTTCAAATATTCATCAACAGCTACCGGTTAGGGTTATATCACACCCCTCACAGCAGGCTATCCCAGAAACCACCGCGCCGATGCATGTATGCATGTATGCATGACACATCCGTAACATACGATTTCAATACGGCTGAATAGCCTATCTGGTAGAGTGGCTAGCGTTACTTCTGAAGGTCGGTAGTTCGAATCCCATCTGTTAATTTTTTAATTTTTTCTTTCTTCATCTTTTTATTTTTCTATCTTTATCCATTTAACTATTTTTTCCCAATTCACGCAAATATTGACATGATTTATTTACAACAATTTAATTAAAATTTTTAATTAAATTAAATTTATTAGTGTTATTTAAATTTAATTAGGGTTAGGGTTAGGATTAGGG